TGTCTGCACTGTCTCCTTAGGGCAAGCAGTACCCAGTTAGATGCATAGAGTGAGGGGTGATCCTTACCCCCCTGGAACATCCTGAGGCAATAGCTTGTTGGCTGACAGTAAATTTTTTGTATTTTCTGTATTAAATAAAGATACATTTTTTAGATGAAGAAAAACTGTTTCCTCATTCTCTCAGACTGACCCTCACATTGTCAGTGTGCATTTCCCTCTGCCTGGACTATCAAAGCTAAACCCTAAACTCTCCATCCAGTGAGGGAAGAGGTGGGAGGAGCAGAATTCAGGTGTTTTCCTTGTACGTTGTGAACCTATGGTTCCTTGGTAAAGGCCATTCGGTTAGAAGAGAAAGAACCTGCTCCTCGTTCCACCTAGAAAATTAGTTTTTAGTCTTATTCCTGGCTTTTGAATCATTACTGAACCTTCTCCCTGAGGGACTTGATTTGAGTGGCGTGAGCTAGTTATTTTCCATAATAAAGCTGCCTCAGAAATAACTGTTTCACATCTCTCAGTGACAGATCGAAAGGGGGCCATTTCTCAACCTGAAGAAGTTGAAATATGACTTCTATATTGTACAAGTCAAATGAATGGAAAACTACACAAAATAGGAGAAAGCTGTTCATTAGATTCAAACTCTAGCAAACAAGCCCTCTTTTGTGCTCCCTTAGAAAAGTGACAAGTGCAGGCAAATCCTGTTTGGCTCAAATAAACTCTTATAATAATTGCAAGGAAAAAGGAGTGACAAGTTCATTAATATCAGTGCCAGCTTTCAACATGGAGATATATTTGGAGGTGCCACTGTTTTATCTGAGTGTGAGACCGACAGCTTCTGTTCCCCAACAAAGTGACACAAGGGACAGTGGGGCAGTTGTCATGCAGTTGACCTCAGACAAGGAGGGCGATTACTGCCATATCATTGGACGCGACTGACATAGGCATCCAAATGGAAAGAGCAGGGACATCTTGAGTCAGGATCATACATAGCCTGGCAGACAGTTATAGTATAAGACCATTTTGAACTTACGAATTAGTCACCTGATTTTCATGGGTCCTAAGTTATTTAAAATAAGTGAGCTTCTTTGTTTTTTTAAGGTAAGGACATACAGAATCTGATGCATGAAGAATCACTTCAACTCAGACAACTTTCACTGCTTCCAGGATTAGTCTAAAAGCCAAGAGATGAAAATTGGATGGAAATGTAGTTAATTAGGAATTAGCCAGCTTCCCAGTGATCAACTGTGCTTAAAGACACAGATTTTTCCAGAATTTAGAGTGAGGCATGACAACATGGCACTGGATGTGAAGGAACCACCAGCATTAGATTGGCCCAATGTGTAATGTTTTAGGACTTTGGGCATGTTCTTTCTATCTTCTGTGTTAGCATATTAATCCTCTGAGGCTGTATTTGGGTTATATAGTGCTCAGTTTGATGAATGGGTGGGTTAATTTGAGTAAAGTTTCTGGAGTAAAAAACACTGAAGACTGATTCCTTCATATGGTTTATCAACTGGATATGAAAACAGCTTCCAAAAAAGAGGTTTTCAAAAATGTTTAGAGCTTTGGAAAATAAGTAAATTAACGTGGAACCTCCCAAGAAGGCTACTTTGAAGAACTAAATTCACTTGGCTGCATAAATTATGGGTATCTGTTACAAAGGGCAATTCTGATGTAGCTAAGCAAATTTTGTTTCAAAATCCTGGAGGGTAAAACCTTTGAAAAGGTGTTTGAGTAATCAGGAAATAATTAAGACAGTCAGAGCCCTGCTTCATGTGAGGGAACACTTGAAAGTGGAATTCATATTAAGCAGAAGTTTCAGATGGCATGCCTCTTTATTAAAACAGAAGTAAACAGTACATTAATTAAATTTTCTAATACACAAAATGAGGAGGCTTTAAAATGCTAGTAAGGAAAGAGAAATAATATAATGGATTTTGATTTTTTTTAAATCAAGCAATTAAAATGAGAAATAAAAAATTTAGGCTTTGAAGTTTATAAGTTTATACATCCAGAAAGAATGCCATAATTTAATATATGATTGTATAACCGACTTTCTTGATCTGGGGATCTGTCTTATTGACTAGCTAGTATCAACTGAATGGTAGAATTCCCTGAGTATGATGGAACCATTTACACATTCCCAGTCAAAAAATGTCTCCCTAATATTCTCAAAGCTTAAGACTCTGGCCTATCTAGGTGATAAAAACTAAAATGTAATTTATCTAAATGTTAGATCATGTTATACACACCATACCTCTTAATATTTTTTAAACTGGAAATGGCTACCCTGAGTATCTAATTTAATGATTTTAAGGTGTTCTCTGCCTTCTGGTTCAATCCACCTTTATAATTATATCCCCCATTACTCCCATTGCCATCATCTGTGCTCAACTATCAGGTATTAACCAAGCAGACCCCAAGCTTTCTAACACCTAAGCATTTCCCCACGCTTCCACTTATACCCATTCAGTTCCCACTGCTTTTCACCCCATTCTGTGCTTATCTAAATCTGACCTTCAAAACCCAGCCAAAATGCCACTTTCTTCATGACAAATGTCTTTTTCCTAGCCAGAAGTAATCATTTCCCCGCTCTATGCTCTCGTGCCTCTTACCAGTTTCCATCATAAATTAGGGATCTCTGAATGACTGTCTCATTTCCCATGCTAAACTGATACTTTTTAAAAGTCCGTGCCTACTTTATTTACTATGTTCTTCAGTCTAGCACACTGTCAGCAACTAGCATAGTGTTAATATGCATTTGTTAATGAATAAATGACCTCTTTTGAAAAAACAGGTATAAAAAGGAAATGTTTAATTTTTCTTAGAATAGGGATACAGAGAAAAAGGTATAATTTTGTTCATCTTCTCAATGTTCCCAGAATCAGATAATTGTTGAATGTTAAGGGAAATATGCTTTAAAACTAAACTGTAATTTTAAAAGAAAACACAACAGCTTTTTCACTTTTCTGGGTGGCTGTTGTATGCCCTTTATCATGTTAATGCATAGAAGTCCTCCCTTTGTGCAGGTAGATTAATACACTATAGCCCGTGAATAGCTAGAGAAAACATGCTCCTTTATGCGACCTAATAACCTGGGGGACATCATTTAATCTTCACGAGATTGCGTTCCCTCATCCTGAGGAAAGGAATTCTCACTTGCAGCCCTACCTATTTCACAAGTTTGCTGTGAGGGGTAATAAGGCAATGTAAGTGATAACACTTCATAAATTGTAAAATTCTTTATAAATGTAGGAATATATGAAGTAGATCAATATAAGGGACATTAAAATAGTAATATGAAAAAGAAAGAGAATGAATAAGTGACTAAAACAGGTCAGATTCTTTAGGTCAAATTTATATGAAATATTTTATGAAATGATCGAAGGAAAGATTTTGTTATACAATAACTTAAGTTTCCATCACAAGAAACAGTAATTCCATGAGGGCGAATGAAATTAGTGAATAATTATTCTGATTACTGAATAACGTCACTGTGTGTGTTCTATAAAATTGCTCTGCAACTGCAATCAGAGGGATCCTTATAGATGAGAGAGTTCCAGGCCTCAAATAATCTTCAATCTAATTTACTCACTATTACCATTTAGGAAGGATGGTTTTATTTTTCTCTCCTACTACTGGTCATTTTAGTGAATGTCTAAGATCTTTTCCGTCAGACTTCATGGTATTCTGAAGCTTTAATAAAGTTGCTGGGAAGGAATATAGACTGTGGAACCCAAAGATAAAAAGGGACCTGGGTATCCACTTATTCTAAATACCACCCAAACCTGGAATTAATCCTTAGAAGCCCTGTTATATCTAGTGTTGACCTGGATGGATCCAATGTATAAAAAGGGATGGGATTCACCTGCCGACCCCTAAATCAATTAAGTAGAAATGTGATCTTTTATTTTTTATGTGTGTGAAAGCTTTGGTTTGCCTGATATGCAGAACAGACACACAGCCATGTTGCTATTCCCCGGTCACACCTGCCCTCTTGGCCATCCAGGCCCAGGGTACAGAGTTCCAAATTAGCTAGGGCAATGAACAAATAAATTTTCAGTTTTAATTCCCTTCCTCTCTTAATGAGTTTATTAGCCTATCTTTGGACATTTTCTAAGAGCACCAGCTCTAGTAGGATTAAACCTGTGATGGATGTTGCTGCTGCCTAAAAAGTTCCAGTTTCTTTCCCAGAGGAGCCACTGAACAGAGCCCATCTTGAATAGCAAATGCACCCCCAAGAGTTAAAGCCACTCTGGCCCCTCATATAGACTGCATATGGACCCTGAGGATTAGAAGCATTTAGCAGCTGCATGATCAAAATGACAAAATAACTGTAAATTATTTGATTAATCCTCATATTGTGCTTATGGTTAAACTCATTATTTAAAATTTGACTTAGAGTGGCAGTAGTTAATACCTATAATGGAATCTTTGCATCCTGTATTTCAGATAAATTTCATTTCCATTCAAAGAACAGCAAAACTTAACTAATCATAACCCAAATAAACCATGTTTCTTCCCTCCTCTCTGCTCCACACCCCAAACTTAAAATTTTTAACTTGGTGTAAAAATTTGAATTTTAACTTTATATTCATGTCCTAATTAAAACATGAGTAATCAAATGAAACTCCCATTGCCTAATGACTTATTTCATGGTACTGTCATATAGTGTAATCATATTGGAGGGTAGCTGGTTTTCCTATATATATATAAGACTTCCCTGGAGCAAAATTTACAACTCAAGGATATTAGATAGAAAGTTACCTGCTTCAAGTGGGAGACTGAAGTCATTTTTCATAAGTCATCATGACTTTGGAGTGACTTGATTTGGAAAATGATGGCATGGAATTCTGTTTTAATCAGACTCAATGGACTTAACTCTGTGCTAGGGTAAAACTGAATATTGAAATCAAATTCCTATTTTTAATTCCTTTATGTCAATTTATCTGTGTTGATATGCTACATGAGGCTTTAATACCATCTCTCTGTGTCTCTCTTAGAAGACAAAGGGAAGCTAAAAATCAACAGTTCCAGTCAGTCTTCAAGCTCTGAAGGTGGCCCATTTCTCCTCAAATCTGGCACAACACCCCTGCCACCTGGAACAGACGCCTCTCCCTCCAAGAGCACAAATGGAGCGCCTGGTACTGTCTCTGAATCAGAAGAAGAAAAAGCCAAAAAATTGCTTTACTGTTCACTATGCAAAGTGGCTGTGAACTCCCTGTCACAGCTGGAGGCACACAACACAGGTTAGCGGCTACTGTTGGGATTTAAATAATGTTTATAGCAAAACCCAACTTTTCCTGTCAGAATGCCATTAGATGTTCGAGCATTAGGTTTGTTCAATGTCTTCTCTACTTTTTTGATTCAAATGTATGATTTTGAGAAAAGTATGATCATACTGACTTTAGAAACAGCAAGGCAAAGCAGGTTGGAGATAAAACCTGTTCTGTCCTTTGTTTTCTCAGGAAGTATGTACTAGTTCCCAAAACTCATAAGGAAGAGACAGGGAAGACAAATATCTATGCACAATGTTCACTGCAATACACTTACAAAAGAAAAAAGTGGAAACCTAAAAGTCCTTCAGCAGGGAAATGCTGAATAAATTAGAGTACCCCAATGTGACAGACTACACTATTCAGCCATTAAAATGTAATTAGAAGAAAATATGTATATAATTTGATATATGAAATTTTCAGAATATTTAGTTAGTATGATCCCAATTTTGAAAAATATATTTTTATGCTGATTTTTTAAAATTTAAGTGTAGTTAGTATACAATATTATATTAGTTATATTAGTTTCGGATATACAATATAGAAATTTGACATTTTTATACCTTACAATTATTATTCTAATAATCATTTTTCACCTTGCAAACTTCTCACATTATTGACTATATTTATTTTTATATACTAAAAAAGAACCAGAAGAGAAATGCACTGAAATGATAACTTTGATTATGTCTGCGTGTTGATAATATACGTAATCTTTATTTTCTCATGTTTCTCTATATTTCCTATATATTTATTCTATATTCTTCTGTTATCCCATTTTTTACAATGAAAATGTGTTAAATTTATAATAAGAATTAAAATGGTCATTAAAAATAAAAGCAATGGGAAATTCAACCTGAAGGTAACTTCTCAAGAATAAGAAAACAAAGAGCTCCATGTAGTTCTTCAATAGCTATTTAATATATGTCTCTTTCTGTTTTAGGATCTAAACACAAGACCATGGTTGAAGCTCGTAATGGGGCTGGTCCAATTAAGTCCTATCCTAGACCTGGATCAAGATTAAAGATGCAGAATGGTAGTAAGGGGTCAGGACTACAGAACAAGACATTTCATTGTGAAATCTGTGATGTTCATGTTAATTCAGAAATTCAACTCAAACAGGTAATGTACTCTGAATTAGTAGTCATTGTTGTTTGGGGTCACCACTTGACTGTATACCTCCTAATCTATATAATGGTTCTCACTGTGCTCAAAGTTAAATTTACTAACCTTTATAGGATACATAAAATATACAAAATACAGGTACTCTGTGGAAGAAAAAGTCCACACCAAATATTTGCACATATATGTCAGATTTCAGACTGGTGTTAGAGACACATGAGCACAGCAATACCCGGAGCTCGGAGCTCACAGTCAAGCAGGAATTTCTGGAAGATAAGGGAGATGTTCAGTTCCAACAACCCAAAATCGGGTTAGGGGGACAGACTCAACAGTCACGGTGGTAATACCAGGCAAAGTCGGATAAGAGCTATGGAGAAAGAGGGAAGGAAGAGAGGCGTTTCAATTGAGTGGGGAGCAAGTCTTTACCCACACTACCGTGGAACTTGTACCTGGAACTGGGCCCAGCTCCGTCTGATTATGAAAGTCTCCTAAATCATGGTGAAACCAGCTACCTCTATCTAGGAAGTATATTTTACATGGAATAAAACTCACATCTAGATTCAGCTAATGCATCAAACTTTTTTCAGCACATTTCTAGCCGAAGACACAAGGATCGAGTTGCAGGGAAACCACTGAAGCCGAAATACAGCCCTTACAACAAACTCCAGCGGAGCCCAAGCCTTTTAGCAGTAAGTTCACCTTGCCTGCTCACCTGTGGTGTGGGGCAGCCTTGCTGGGTTGGGCAGATTCTGTGGGTAAGGAGGGCCTAGGGACTAATGGGTCCTGAAAGGTTTGGAACTTAAATAGCCCACATAGATAGAAAATTTAGAATGAACTGCTTAGTTCCTGCCGTAGGGCACCTTGAAGAAATCTTCCTGAGAGAAGAGAAGCAGAGCCTCTTTAGAGCTAACACCGTAACGTACCCTTTACCAAGACCTTTTGAAAATGTTACCTTCTTTAGCCTATAAGGAAAAGTAAAGGCTGAGGAACAAGGACAAGTGATGACTGTTGTACCTGGGAAAAAAGGAATTGCTTTCAGAAAACAAGAATTCATTCATTTAATACCCTCCTCCCTCCTCTGTCTTCCCCCCGCTCTTTCTC